CAAGGTAAGGAAAATCACATGGCCATCAGTCGTTCTATTCAAAGGGGGCCTATTCTAAACGAAAAAAGTCCGACTGAAAAATCGAAAGAAACGCTTTTTGAATTTTCAAACTGACCTCATTATAAATAAATTCCCATCCTGCACCTCTTCAATAAACCCAGTTACCGTCGAAGAGTTAACTACCTCATTCGAGGTTTGAAAGGCTCGAGGCTGTAATCGCTCAGGTGGCTGGAGCTCCGGTTGTACTCATGCCTTACCCCTTCTGTGGAGAGTTCGATCTCCGTAAAATTTTTCACAATTGGGCAGTCCCTTAAGCTTTTATTTCGAATCTTCCATTAGCCCACAGTGTATGACGATTTTGCGTTGACTCCACTTTGCGGGTCCGCTATCCCACTGCGTCTCCATCTGGTGCATTCCTGCATATTCACGTCAACGGCAGTCTTTTAGTTTGAAACAGTGAGGCTCTGCGTTTTGCTGTCATCGTGTCCGGCTAAGTCCAGTCGTTTCGAAGTTCTTTATGGTGCTCCTTCAACCAACTCATCAGCCGATGTTGACTTGATTCCACTCAACTCTCTCGGATCCCTGTGCCAGTTGATGTTTGGCTCACCTCACGTCCGACTGTCAGTTTGCTCTACCAACTTACTCTCCGCCTATTCTATACAACGTATAACCCTCCCTCTTTCTCCTCTTTTCGGAAGCTGGCCTGAGGGTCATAGTAGTGGGGATCTATCCACGACTTTAGCTGCTGCTGCAGCAGCTTTGCGTCGGCCATATTCATTCTATCTTCAGAAGTAAACACCTTGATGACCTTATAACTGCCTTAAACTCGTCGCTCTCAAAAGCGAAATTTAAAGTAAATTATTTATGAACTAAGCAGAGCATGAATTCACTTGTTGCCTACTATGCAAAGCGTATGACGCCTCACTCTCAACAACTGAATACGGCAAAATACCTGCTGCTGTATTCTAGCCACCTCAATCAAAAAACGCAAGGATTGTCAAATGTCACTTTAGGAGAGCTCTGCCCTTATGCTCTGGCGCAGGTAGCTCGCAGGAAGTACAGCACTCCGCCAGGAGGCAACTGTCTGCTAATGGCAATTAAACACAACTGATGTCATAGGTGAAAGGAATCATACAGAGCCTCAGATTAAACTAATTATCGTCTGGGTTGTCTCCGTATAAATACCCGTTACTTCGCCAGACCAGTCACGCGAACCACGGAAGTTAGATGATGCCAGAACTTCACTTTACGCCTATACTCCTGTCGGAAGCGGGTTAAGGAGGCCAATGCATTGAAATGACCATGACTAATAAGATAACCTAGTATTTGAACTGGGCTGTCTCGAATGGGCGAATTTCTAAATCAACTAAACAAGAGGACGCCAACTGTTGCGTTATCCGGAATTGAGGCACATGTTTGGACCAGGCAACGCAAGACCGAACTCAAAAATATGTCAGTCCTTTTATCAAGACAGGATTCCTTCCCTGAACTAAGGGTAGCAGAAAAGTTTCACTTCGGTTAACAAAATGGATACTACAACATACAAAACGTTGACCTCCCTTCGACCTGGAAGGCGTTTAGCAAACAGGATCGCTGCTCTGTACAAATGCTTTTTTCTGCGTTCTCTATTTGTATTAGGCATCAACAAGCAACAGCTACAGTGTCATCATGAAATTTTTGGTGCTGTGAATTCCGTCTTCATTCTAATTCACACCATAGCTACTTCTCAGAACGTTTTACACAGCTTCTTTCGTCGCTATACACTGGCATTCCTCATTTCGAGTATCTTGTAAGGCTCATCTTTTAAAATTGTTCCGCCGCTAACGCTCTAGCTCAACTGCTTCACTCACTGAGATGAAAAGCCAACCGTCGTCTGTGTCCCTTTTAGTTTTTTTCTCGTCGTACGACAGTTACTTCAGCAAAGATTTCCTTATTGATTAAACGTCCCGTCTCGCAAGCCCTTTTAAAATAAAATCTGTATGCTTACCCAGTTAGCATACTGCTTTCATTTGTTTCGTGTCGTTCAGGGCTAGCCCACAACCCGGACAATTCACGGCTTAGTTGCAGGACACAAACATCACCCTAAGAGGACTCTTCATCGATAGCCTTCTTCTAATGTAAGCGAGAGCTCCCAGAATGCTTGCTGCTCGATCGAGAAACACGATCATGTTGCTTTTCGTAGTCATATAGATTAAAGGTGAGTCAGAAGGCAGGCAGCTCAATCGTGGTCGTAAGACCCCACGAGCACGCGTCTGCCTGGTGGCTGCAACCTGAAGGTACCTTTTGATTGGAACACGATGTAAGCCTATCTGCGCTACGCTACCCGCAAATTTAAAACCTACTGAAGCCGCCTGTCCAGCACAGCCGTGGTGTGTTCTACGTAATTTTGAAAGATGGTCGTTCGCAGACCTGAGTACTTCGATGGGCAGGTGGAGCCAGGTATGCCTTTTGCATTGATGTTCAATTCACCTCTGTCGGCTGGAAGTCGTACTGTTTTACCGTGACTGATTTGTGTTTGCCGCCAGTATTTTGGCAGTCGAAACAAGTTAAGTCGAAAGCCAAGCTTTCTTCAATAATTCTAAGCTTCTAAGGTGATTTATAGGCCGACACTATACTCCGATATACGTTTAAGGACCTTTTCTCCCTCTGCTAGTTGGACTAAGTACGATCAATAAAAAATCAGTATGATACGTTGATTTTTCCATGTTTATTTCCACCAGAGGCTCCTATCTTTTGGTGTTCAGTCGACTTTTAAAGCGGGTTTCGGGCGGCTTTTTAGATTTAACTTCATAACTTTACTTGGTTAGGTGGAGGTCACGAGAAGAGGAGCGTTTCACAGCTTCTACCTTTCATTAGACATTTAAGCGCAAGACAAAAATGCCGATAATTGATTTGTTGCACGTATAGCTTACCTCTCGTAATCTTACATTAGCTAACATCCAAAATGTGCGTTTTTCACCCATTCTATGCTGCTGTTTGGGCAAATGCGACAGGTCTACTTAACTTCTGGGTCCCCCACGCATTTGACATGTTGGGCGGGGAGGGCTGAGGAACTCATGGATTGCGCGTAACCCTCGAAGCTACTAAATGCGTTCACAAAATATCGTCAAGCGCGGCTCTAGGCGTTCATTCAGTATTTGACCGAAAGGGCCACTTCAATGTGTATCACATACATTATCCGATGCTAGTTTGGCAAACTTAAACTTTTGTTGTTCATTGTCTGGAACTGATTGAGTTTGCCAAGAATATTTACATGAAATATGGTCTGCGCACCAAAATCCCGTAACGAACACTTCACTTCTGGTGCAATCATGAAACATCACAAGTGTATTTGATTGTAACATCGTACTTTAGGCTTCAAAAATCAAAGGTCGTTTGAATTTTAGTTAATTGTTCCAGCCACCATTGTACCACTAAAACGGCCTCAAAGCTCGCGTGCTTTTGGTGGAATAAAAATTAAATTTCTATCACAACATACTCACTTTCTGCATTCTAAAACAATGGATTTTGAAATTATAAGGCATTTTCGACGTTTTAAATTTGTTATATAGGGTACAGTCAAATAACTAGACGTCCAAGGTCCACCGGACCGCGGAATTTATCAGCATACGAAAAGGGTAAGATTATTTTAGCTCTCTACACATCCATGAGTGTTTCCAGACAGTAGATATAGACATAAACAGCCTTTCAAAGCCCAAAACCAAACTGCCCACACACCTACCACAATCTTTGTAATAGAACATGGGCATTTATATGTCGGCTTACTCTAAGCTAAAAGTGCGATTGTGAATGTCCCATCACGCTATCTACGCATTTTGTTAATTGAAGGTATTTTCTGTAAGAAAATTACCAATTATTCAAACTGGATAATTATCAGCTAGCAACTAAAGATTAGGTTACCTTGTTGGCAGCATCCTATCAAAAGACGAGGTAGTGTTTCTAATTTTCTATTTTTAACTTCATTAGCTTAAATAAAGAGACCATGCCAACTTAACCATTTTTTCCGCTTCTGCGTCCATCAGAGAAGCCTCCACGTCATTCTCAAAAGGTGCTCCCCTTCATAGGTAGGGTCTTTGTTAAAGCAATTGCTGCCAAAAAGACAGTGTGCTCGCTTGATCTTAAAATGATATTTACGACCCGTTATACGACTCACCAACAACTCCGCCAGAAGATTTGTGAAACTAAGGCGTTATCAGATTTGACTGTTTCCTTGCTACAATAATGGCACACGAGAACAGTAAACCTACTATTAGGATCGGGGAAATCGCAAAAAAACTTCCGACCAGTTCAAGGTTCAATTTATACTCACTTCTATGAATGATAACGTTGGCACATTTTTCACTCAATCATTTAACCCTTATCTGCGTTATAAAGTTAAGAGTGACCAATGTGGTGAAGTAGGAAATTAGAAGCATGAATTGTTGCACCACAAGTGTTGCATCCTAACTGATCCAAGCTAATACTTTGCTCCGTCTGGTTTGATTTAAGAAATGATTTCCGGTGAAGATCGGAGACAACGTTCACACGCTCACCGAGACCAGGGTGAGTAGCTGTGCCTTCCTATGCCACTCCCTTTTTGAAGTCTTCTTCTTTTCGTTCTTTAAGTTGTTGTTTAATATTTTCCACCTTCCTACGCAGTTTCAAGTACTTTTGTCGTTTTATAAACGCGTTCCATTTGTACGCAAGCTCGTCTTCTGTCAGCAATTGCCCAGATTCCATTAGGCAAACAGTACGAGAAATTAGCACGGCTTTTGCTATAATTCTGCTTCCTAGAGTAAACACTTTCTATTCAGTCGACAGGACTTCCTTAATTGCTAAGACTAGTATTCTAAGGATGAACTCTCTACTTGGTCAGATGGTCACTTCCTACTTCGATTTTATTTGAAAATTAAGATTTTAGTCACGGTTCCACTAAAACCTTATTACTTTTATTGAAAGCTATTCGAAATTAGTTAACGGTTACCCAGGGAATCCGGCCTGACTTTAACATGAATAAAGTGGAAGCGCAGGTTTCGAAATGTTCAACTACAATTACACCGTTGCAGATATATGTTTTTTAAATCCTCTGCATACAAATATGGTAATCAGATGATTCATTGGTTTCATAAGAAACCTATTGCCCTTATGAAAATTTAGATGTCTACGATGGAGCAAGCAGGCGAAAAGGCGAAGGTTTGTTAATCCCTTTTCAAGTCAAACATTAAATAAAAATGATCCTTGACCGAAGGCACATGGACGTCAAATTTTTGTCCCTGAAACGATAGGATAAGTTTGACCCGAAGTCCACGTCTTACTAAAAAGATTTTTTAAAAAACTACGCTTCTCATTTTAGGTTGGGTCAGTGACAGACGTCACCCCGACAGCAGGTCGGCTACACCGACCTTTTGTAAGTCAAAGAAACAGAGAACATCTCTTAGAAACTAATTTTCATCCATATATGAATATAAGGCTAAACCAACCGAAACAACCTCACTCACTTCAAGCTAATTTAATTTAAACTTTGCCATACTGTCCCTGATCTTTAATAGTTATATTAAATGCACTGCATGTTTTTAGTTTCTGAGGAAGAATACTATGAGAAGCGGCGAGCACAGTCCGTCAACAAGGGTAAATATGATGTTTCTGACGGTATGATTAACTCTTCAACCTGATTTACTGCATGTTTCTTTTGACTTTTTGCAGATCGCTCACGTCGACCTAAAAGCACGCCGAAGCCACCTCAGAGTTGTGAGAACAAATTTGTCATTCTAGCATTTACTTGCCATTTCGATGGAGACTTCTTTCCTAATTGTTCCTTACAATTCCGTTCAAATAGTCACGCGGAAGTTTCATAGCATAGACCCAGCCTGGTCAGCTTAATACGCTCCGTCAAACTATTTTCTGTAGGAACTGTTTGGAATTGTTACATTTCCTCCCAACTACTCGAGTGCTTAAATGCGCTCGTTGAGATTTATGTAAAAGTTAATTCCTACGAATTCCTTTCTATAGGCTCCTGTGGCAGTTCCAATGCGACCACCCTTAGTACCTCCTGTAAGTGAGATTCATGGATAGTTACTTTCAACTTATGCTCGTAGAGACTGCTAAGTTTCCAAAACACTGATTTAACTGAGGATTGTATTAGTTAATAGAGGTCGCGCCTCTTCTCCTATTAACTCTATGTGCACTATAGATTGTATCTTCGTCAAAATTAAGCGAGTTAATCTTCGTATGCTGCGGAAGACCTATTTAAATTAATGTACATTAAGCGCCGACTTTGGACTGTTTAATTCAGGCTGCCTTCAAATCAATGCGCCAAATTACTTAAAAATAACACACGCTGAGCTGTTGCGCTAACTTTTCTGATATGCAATCGGACAAACTCCTCTAATGACGACACTTTCCCCCACCACATTTTAAAGACAGATACATTAGCCTCTCATGAGGAAATATGTGTTCCTTTTGCAGTCCCTCCTCGAGCTCCCGAGCCGCCGGTGAACAAGAAGGCAAAAGGGGCAATTGTTAACTGCAAGGCTGATCCAACATGTAAGAAGCATATCTTACCTTATTTGGGAGAAAAACATCCCTTTAAGGGGTATCTCAGTGGACCCTTTACTGTCTGCAAATGGCACATTTTATAAGTAGATTAGCTGCAGCCCTATGCGTCATAGGCTCCTTTCAACACAGAAAAGGTTTCAGATTATCTCCTTAAACGAACCTGCAACTACCTAATTGTCGGGTGATTCTGAGTCATTTAAATGGACAGCAAAACTTTCCGTGCCCGCGTGTCTACCTCAGGAGCTTTTTTGTTTCTAGATGTGCAAAAACACGTTTGTCCCGCAGTTTGTGGTCCACCAAAGCAAGTTCGGCTACCGGCTCGTAGCATGATAAGCGGTAAGTTATATGTTTTCCACCGAAACTGCTCCATTATTCGCATGCTCACATTTCCAAACGTCCAGCACCATTTTCATTGGCCGTAATCCGCAGCGGCATTTGAGAATACTCACTTTATGGAAACTTCCCCGCTATGAACCCCATTCTCTGACTTTCTGCTCATTTTCCAGATACCAGCAGGGTCTCGTACCGAAGCCTTTGCGACGACACTTTTGTTGTTAGTAAGTTCCTATGCTTGCATTGATTGTGCAATTTTAAGAATTGCTGGGAAATTCGATAGATCCTTTAAAAACTTGACTGAAGGCTCCGTTGACACTCCACAATAAATGTCTTTCAGAGCGGGATCGCACATTGGACAAAGCTCCAATTGCCATCACCGAGGGACCCAAAGCGAGTGAGTGAACTGGCAGAGGTCTTGAGAGTTTACTGTGGCTTTTTATGCCGTCTCCGCTGGGTACTATTATTAACTCATAAACTTTTCATATGTTTTTATCTTCTCAGACAAATTCATACCCCGACCAGGGACGGTCACTAGAAAGGAATGTTTCCCATTACGTAAGTAAAAGCGCCTATTTAATGATTTCGTGCCTCAGATTCACGGCAAGTACGCAGTATGTGACCCCACTCAGGGAAAAACCAGACCATCGCCAAAATGTCCTTGCCTTTTGCACCTGGCCGACCCTTTGGACGGTTTTTCTAGTCAATCTATCTATTGCTAATCAGGACTGCGATTGCCACCGGAGGCTTTAATGTAAAGCATAAATTGATTATTTTGCAGTTCTCCTGTACGTTTCCGAAAACTTCTTTTGCATTATTTAGCTCGGGTAGATCAATTTGGCAATGAAATGGATGAAATAGTGACAAAGCCCAAACGCGGTGTTGACGCGCTGATTTTTACAAGTGAGTCCGCACCTTTTTTGGGATCCTGTCATTTGACAAGCTGGCGCCCTTTTCAGCCACTATAAATAGAGAGGTTATATCCTTGTAGACTAATGGTAAGCTAAAAGGATTAAAAACCGTATTTTTCAACAAAACCTGGAGAACAAGTGACAATATTTTCACCCCTACTGCCGCGTACTGGGGGAATCAAAATATTTTCACCGGGTGATCCTGTCCTTCGTAACGCCCTTGTCAGTTTAAGGAGTATGCACCGAACTCTGTTGCTCGAATGTTTTAGGTGATGTTGGTTTCTATAAGCTAATTGAACGAATGTGAGGTGTGAAAAGCCTCTGCACATTAATCTTTTCATCTTGCAGACACCTTTTATGAGCGTGGACTCATTAATACGGTGAGAACGTGCTTATTACTTTCGACTTAATATTTATAATAATGAATTCATCGCCTCGCGCACTAAAAAGACGTTTTACGTTTTTACTTAAAATGAAACAGACCACAGTGTGTTTTTCATTTATTCCAACACTTGGGTCCACTACTGTTCAAATCTCTTTCTCTAATTGTTTGCTTGCTTATTTACTGCTATTTACTATGATTTAGGATAAGCCTGCAGAAGCTGAAGAAAGTAAGCTATGCATAAATTTTCTTTTGCTTTTTCTATTGTTCTTTTATAAGAGCTAGGCGAGCATCATTCTGGTATATGTTGTTGAGGCGCTTAGCCATGCAATCCTTCATAGACAATGCTTATGGTGTCACAGGGTTTGAACCGATGATCAGGATAGTGGTATGAAGTGAAGCCAGTCGCATAGCAAGAATGACGTAATTGATAAGTATTTTCACGTCTAAAAAGAATCCCACACGCCTTTTAAATGTGGTTTCTCAGGAGGTTTTGTATTCCTAACGTTAGGGAGGTAATGAGTGTCGGTTCAAGGAAACAACAGCTTTTTCCTCTCTTTTACTCGTGTGTATTAGGCCCTGTTTAACAATAAATATTCCGACATTTGATGGACTGACAGGAAGAGTAGAAATAGCCTATTTTATTTATGGTCCATCACCGTTGGAAGCGACGGTAAAGCGTTATAGCGAATG